ACGCAGACGCCCGTGGCTTGCCGTCCTCGGTGGCTGCTGCAGTCAGGAGCACAGATTGAGGCCGCCGGGCACCCGGACCGAGGTCCCCAGGGCAGGGCGGGGCGTTCCTGGACAGGCGGCCCCACGCCCGGGGTGAAAGCTGGTCCCCATGCTGTCTAGTCCGCCAGGGGTCAGCCCCCAGGCCCTTCGCCATGTGTGCCGGGGCCCCAGCTGCAAGGCCTTGGTGGCCGCGATTCCAGGCAGCTGCCCCCCCACCCCCGCCCCGCCTCAGCTGTCACCACGGGCAGCACAGGCCCCAGGGGCTACCGGCAGGCCAAGACCGCAAGCGGCCAGCTGCCCCTTCAGTGCCTGGGGACAATGGGCAGTGCCGGGCGGGGCAGGAGGCCCATCCCACTGCCCTTGGCGTCTAGCAGGAATGGGGTCCCACCCGCCCAAGCCCCTGCGGCCCTCACGACCCTGCCTCAGCACCGCCGCTGCACGCCGAGGGTGCCCCACGACCCCTGCTCAGCCGCGCCGCTCAGGACGCGCCGGGCACCCGGTCGCCGCGCAGTCCGGGCCAGGTCACTCCCACCGCGGCAGGCAGACGGACGCCGTGCCAGGGATGCCGCGGCGGAGCCAGCGCTGCCCGTCCGAGTGGCTGTGGCGCGTGGGGGACGGACGACACGGAGGGCGGCAAGACGAGGACTGAGGAGAGGCACGCGGGGTCCCGGCACAGACCCTTGCACACGCGTGAGCAAAGCCCGAGGACTCAGCCGCAGTCGGCTCACCCAGGCCAGCGGGAAACGCAAACCGAGGACGAGGAGGCCACGTGCCGCCCGCCCGACAGGGACACGACTGGTGGGGGGACGTGCACGCAGATGCGGGGCACACACATGGGGCACACACACGGAAGTGTCTGGGTGCACCTGCAGGTGATGGGAGGCCGCGGCCCAGCTCAGGGGCCGAGGCAGCGGTGTCCATGCACAGGGCCGGCTGGAGGCCAGCAGGAAGTGTCCACCCCCCCCCAGGCTGCACCAGGCCCAGGACTGGGCAGGGCAGGGGGTTGTGGGGGCCCTCAGGCCTCCTCTTGGGCCTGACGCCGCTCCCCAGGGCGGGCGGCCGCGCTCCCTCCCAGCCGTGAGCAGGGATGGGCACGGGTTCCCCTGGCCTGGGTGTTTCGGGTCACTCTGGGGCCCCGAGCACACCCCGCCCCCAGCAGCCCTGCGGCCCCACCCCCGCCCGCCGAGCCCCTTCTGCTTCTTCCGGACCCGGCCCTTATCAGCCCTTACGACAGGCGGGGGCGGGCCGGGGTGGGTGTCCACACGCAAGGCCTGTGTCCGGGCGCCCGAGGCCCACACCTCGGCTCCTTTCCACTGGCCGCAGAGGCGGGCCACCGGCCTCACCCCCAGGCCCGTTTCCTACAGTTGCCACCCACACAGCCCTGCCAGGCTCCGCCGCCCCAGGCCCCCAGGAGGTCGTCCACAGTCCATGTTAGGGCCCTCGGGGTGTCCATTCCGACCTGGTAGCCAGGGCACGGGGAACCAGAGTGCGAGCCCTGGCCAGGCTGACTGGGCCAGGCCCCTGCCCCGAGCAGAGGACCCCTCCTGGCCGCCCCCTCTGTCCCCCCTCCAGGGGCCACCAGCCTGGTCCTCTCCCCCAGCTCCTGGCAGCCCCGGGAAAGCAGGTGGGGGCAGCATGGGAGGGGCCATCGGGACCCAGTGGAGGCTCTAGGGGTGCTCTGGCCACAGTCCCCCATGGACGTTCCCTAGCCCTTGGCTCCCTGAGGCTGGGCCTGGCCCTGGTGCCTGCAGGGGGCGCCCCTGAGACGCCCCATCAGCGCCCAGGCCTGGCAGCCTCTGGGGGACAGAGCCCCAGGTGCAGGAGCACCCGGCCCCGGGGACACTGTGTCAGCCACAGGGCACTGCTGGCCTCCCGGCTGGCCCGCCCTGCCAGGGAGCCGTGCACGCAGTGCCCACACGGGGGGCCGCCGTCTCCCCTGTGCTGGGGGCCAAGACCGGCTTCAAGGCAAGGCAGGAAGTTGCCACAGACCCAAAAAACCGACCAGTGGTGGAGGATGAGGCAGCCTGTCCCCACAGGTGCCACACGCACGCCCCCCGATGGCTCCTGACCGCCCAGGGCTGGCCAGCCTGGGCGTCGGCGGTGGTGGGATCGGCTGTGGGCCGGGTGTGGCCTGCGCTCTGGCTCCCAAGGTGCTGCAGGGGTGGCTGGGCCTGAACCACCCTCCGTGGCCTGAGGGCCGGGGGCGCGAGAGGGGCTGGCACTGGGGCGGGGGCCGAAGTCCCAGAGACACCCCCTGAGCCACACCTGCGGGCGGGGGGCCCCAGCAGGACGGGGGGGTCTGAGGACGGGGGGGGGCCTATTGACAGGAGGCCTGAGGACGGGGGCTGGTGGCCTGGTAGCCCGCGTGCCCCTCAGCTGGGCCTCGCCAGACCAGGCAGAGGCTGTGCCCCGCAGAGCCTCAGCAGGAGGGCACAAGACCTGTGTGGCGGAAGGTGGCGACACCCACGGCCTCGAGGAGCCGAGGGGAACCCTGCTGGCCCCAGCAACCCCAGCTATACCGGCGAGGAAAGGAGGCCTGGACACCGGGCCCACGTGGAGACTGGCCCCGGGACCGCTGGGCAGAAGCCACAGCCACAGGACGAGGCCACGGGGCTCCGAGGCGAGGGGAGCGGGGTGGGGGTGCTGCGGGGAGCCAGGTAGGCCTCCACATCACCCCAAGGCCCACGTTTCTGGTCACCTGATGAAGCCAAGGCCTCTGCCGGAGCAACGAGCCGTCGGCCCTCCCCGCGGGCGAGGCTAGACCTGCTGTCCGGACCGTGCAGGGCGCATCTGCCCGAGGCCAGGGCTGCTGGGGTGCAGGGGTCAGCATCTGCCCGCGGGTCAGGCTGAGCACAGGGACCACCACTGGGGCGGGCGGGGGGCCGCCTGGCCACCTCATCGCCAGTCCCTGTTCCCACAGAGGGGCCCCGTGAGCTTCCCAGAGTCCCAGCTAAGGCCCCGCACAGGCCAAGGGCAGCGGCGCCAGAGGGAAGAGGCACTGAGGCCCCCGAGAGCTGCCGCGCCCCCCCCCACAGGCAGCTCAGGCCTACGGTCTCTGCAGGGCTCCCCTGCAGGCTTGTGCCTCCGGGCGGCCCCTCAGCAGGCTTCCTTGGGGGCTAAAAGGTGGGTCCCGTGAGACACGAAACCCTGGCGGTGCTCGCCCCATGAAAGCCCGCAGAAGCGCCTGCAGACGGGCCCCAGTGGCCGCAGGCATGGGGAGGGCTGCGGGCCGGGGCCCTATCCACAGGGTCGCTGGCCCCCCGGGAGGGCTCAGCCCGGGTGGTGAGAGGTGAGGCTGCTGGTGCTGTCCACAGGGAGGGCCGCAGGCAGATCCCAGGGGTGGCCACTCCCCTGGGACTCACTAACGGCTTGTGGGGCCACCCTCCGCTCAGGCCCACCAGACCTGTGGCCGGGCGCCGCACAAAGGGCCGGCCTGGGCAGTCGGCACTCGGAGCAGCGCGGCTCGGGCCCCGGGTCACGCCAACTGACAGAGCCAAGCACCAAGCTGGGCGCTCCAAGGGGGAGGGGTGGTGGGCGGGGGCCACAGGGGGTTGGGGCTCCACCAGGCCTGGCCAGAGGTCCTTGGCAGGTGTCAGGGGTGCCTGGTGACCCACACCCGCTCCTGCGGCGGGGGAGCAGGGGACGCTCCGGAGGAGGAGGCTGCGGGCCCTCAGGGACTCGCCTGCAGCAGAGTCTTGCAGGCAGTGAGGGCCTGACCCCCACCTGCACCCAAGGGCCTCTGTGAACTTTAGGTGCGGCAGATGTGTGGAGAGCTGACCTGCGGCCCAGCCAGTTCAGAGGACCCGGGACACCCTGGGGCCGGCAGCAGCGATCACTCGGTCACCCAGATCTGTGTGCGGAGGGGACGGCCCCACGGGCTGTGGGACTCGGTGCCCCGCTCCACCCACGGGACCCGTGGAAGAGCCGAGGCCTGGCCAGCACACACGGGCTCCGGTGACGACCGAGGAGGAAAGAGCTGCCGTGGCGTGTGGTCAGCGGCCGGTGCGAGCGAGGCTGGGGCTGTCGGACTCTCATGGACTCTCACCACCTGCCGTGAGCCCCGGCCTGAGGGTCCTTCCCCCAGCGCTGGCCTCCCCAGGCTCCACCCCACAAGTCTCAGCGCAGAGGGCAGGCCCCGGAGCAAGAGTGGGACCTCTCCTGGCCCTGCCCACCACCCCAGCCCACCTGCTGGCCAGAGCCAGAGGCCACCAGCACTCAGGCCACCTCCACCCCTGCGCCTTCCCCAAACAAACATCCCTTCAGAGGTAAACTCCGTGCAAAACCCCGGGGGGCTCAAGGAATCGCTGGGGCGCGTGGACCCTCCAGCGTGCAGGGGAGATGCCCGGGCCGGAGCCCGGGGCCAGGCCGCCGCAGCGGGGTCTCCTGCCCAGGTGCCGCCCCGCCAGTCTTCTGACCTGACGGCCTGAGGCTTGGGGCCAGCGGCGGGTCTGCGGGTGGCGATGCGGGGGGCTGGGAGGGCCTGGCCGGCCGGGAGCCCCCACGGCCGGGCGGCCCGCGCCGGGGGCAGCTGGGGGCAGGGGCACTCACCTTCCAGGGCGGCCGGGCCTGGCCCGGGGCACGGCCCTCGGACACCCCGCCTGGGGGGCCGGGCCCGCGGGGCGCCCGGCCTGTGGGCGGCACGGGGCGCCGGGGAGGGGGCGCCCGGGCACCCCGCTCTGGGCGGGTCGGGCTGGCCGTCCGAGCCCCGCGGCGGCGGGGGCGCCACGGCCGAAACCCCAAAGTAGGTCAGCCCGGCCCGCGGGCGCCGAGGTGCCGCCGCCCGCTCCGCCGGCCGCGCCGGGCCGGGCCGGGCCGGGCCTGGAGGGCGAGGCCGCGGCTGCCGCTGCCCGGCCGAGGTCCCGCGGGGGGCGGGCGGGCGGGCGGGCCGGGCGGGTCCCGGCGGGCCGGGCGGGCCGGGCGGGCCGGGCCGGGCGGGCCGGGCGGGCCGGGCGCGCACTTACGTCGTCGAAGAGCGAGCCCACGTTGGCCGTGACCAGCAGCACCGCGGCGCCCGGGGCGGCCGCCTTCCCCGCCATGGCGCGGTCGGCCGCGTCAGCCGCGCCGGGGGGCGGCCCCGGGGCGCATCGCGGGCGGGCGGGTCGGGCCGGGCCGGGCGGGTCCGGCCGCGCGCTCGTCGTCGTCGCTCGCTCTCGCCCTCCGCGGCCCCGCGCCGCCGCCGCCCGCGCTCACCGCGGCCCGCGCGCAGCCATTACCCGCCGGAAAGTTCCCGCAGCGCCGCGGCCGCCCCGCCCGGCCGGGGGCGGGGCCGGGGGCGGGGCCGGGGGCGGGGGCGGGGGCGGGGGCGGGGCGCGCGGGCCGGGCCGGGCGGGAGAGCGCGCGGGGCCGGGGCGGGGCCTCGGGAGGGCCGGGGCGGGGCCGAGGGCCGGGGCGGGGCGGGGCGCGGCCGACGCCTCCCGTCCGTCAGCGCCCCCCGCTGAGCGCCCCGCCCCGCGCCGCCGCGTCCCCGCTCCGCCCCCCGCACTGTGACGACACGGCCCGCGCGGGGGCGACTCTTAAAGGGGCCGCGCGCCGCCCCGCGGCTCCGACGGCCCCGGGCCTGGCACCCCCGGCGGCCCCGCGCGCGGTCGGGGTCCGGGTCCGCGCCCGGCCGTGCTCTTCCCACTCGGGCGGGGCGAGGGGCGGCGGGTTGGCAGCGAGCCGGGGCGCGGGGGGCGCGGGGGGCGCGGGCGGGGCGCGGGCCGGGGCCTGTGCTGGGGGCGCGGGGGGCGCGGGCGGGCTTCGCGCCAGCGAGGCAGGAGCCCAAGGGGCGATGCTCGAGACCCCCGAGGTGTGGCCGCGCCTGCCCCGCGGGGTCGGGGCGCCCGGCTGGCCCCGCGGACCGTCCAGCAGTGCGGGGAGACACCGGCAGGCCCCCCTCGAGGGGTGTTTTGTTCGGCCCGGTGGATACAAACGGCCCCCCAACCCCCGCCCGCGGGCTCCGCTGCCGTCCAGGCCCGCGCTGGCCGGAGGTCCTGGAGGAGGCGGGGCCCCGCCGAGGGGCTGGCTGGCCGCACGCCTGCAGCCACCCCTGGCCTGACCACTGAAGCCCTTTGCCCTGGGAGCCACTCTGGTTGACTCAGGGGCCCCCACATGCACAGCGGCCGCCCCCCCAGACCCCGGTGTGTGAGTGGGGGGCCCTGGGGGGGGGACGATGGGGCAGGTGGGGCAGGAGGCTGCCCCCTGGCTCCCCTGTCTTAGCGGAGACCCAGCTCCCCCCCCCCCCCCCCGGAGAAAACAGAAGAGGCCAGGTGAGCGCTGCAGGCCCCAAGATAGGTCTCCCCGAAACCCAGCCCAGGGCCCCTCAGCCTCAGACCCAAGCAGCACGGCACACACCAGCCCGCAGCAAACTCACCTGGCCAGATGCCCAGCACAGGGGAAGCCGACAAGGCCGCCCACCTGCTGAGCCGCCCACCATCCTGCTGCCCCTCCTGTGCCCTCCCCTGCACCTGGGCCACACCTAGGACGTGCCTGGGGCCTGTCTCCAGGGGGGCTCTGCCCGCCACTCGCCCACTCACTGTACAGCACCCCCCGCACTCAGCCCTCCTGCCTCGGCCACCCACTGCCCCCAGGTGACCTGCGGGGCAGCCCTCAGGCAGGGCCCTGCTCTCCCACCCCCTGCGGAGGCCGGGCTGGCGTGCCCTGGAGCCCACCCCAAGCCCCCTGCCGCCCCCCCCCCCCCCCCCGGTCAGGCGGGTCCTGGAATGGCGCGGTCAGGCCCCCAGCTGCCCCCTGATGGAGCGGCTCTGGCCCAGGAATACAAGTGTCCAGTAATAACTAAACCATCACGCCCCCGTCATCAGGTGCGGCAAAGTGTGTGCGCGCACGACGGGCCCCAAGGAGGCGCTGGACGGAAGGTGATACCCTTTCGTGGAAAAAAAAAAAAGCCCCACAAGCGAAGAGCAGTCGAGCCAGGTAAGTAACACGCACGGGCGGAAGCCAACAGCTCGCACCCTCCGCGCGGCCAGACGCACCCCTGCCCGGAGCCACGGATGCCTGGGATGGACGCCGGGGACGGATGCCTGGGATGGAAGGTGGAGCCCTGTGGGTGAAGGCAGCGTCCACTCGGCCCGAGACCCCCCGGGCAGGGCAGGGGAGGGCAGAGTCTTGTGCGGGAGTCTCGCCCCGGCCAGCGGCGCCGAGAGCTGGAGAAGGGAAAGGGGCCCCGACGGAGCATCCACCATGCCCCCCGGCCGCCCTGGGCTCTCTGGAGGGCGGCACGCGTGGGCTCGGGCAGGCAAGCCTTGGATGGGGCTCCCGGGCTACTGGAGCCACTGCCCATGGCCGGGCCAGAGCGCTGCCCCTTCCTGGTGCGGGCAGTGGGGACGCGCCGACATGCGGCCTGCGTGCAGTCCAGCGGTTCAGACTGGATGTGGGCGCCTTGGTGGGGGTGCTGGGCACGCTCGGGCCTGCACATCTGGCGCCCCAGAGGGGCCCTAGTGGCCAGAGCCCACCGCCCTCCCCGCCGCCGCCCTCCCCACTGGCCCTGCACCAAAGCCCAGACCCTCCCCGCACAGGCACAGGCCGCTGACACCTCGCCCCCCACCCCGGGCACCCAGGGCACCCCGCTGCGAGGCCTGGGCGCGGGGCCCCTCTGTGGGGCACACCCCGGGGACTCCCTGCACGCTGTGCTCGGCCCGCGGCCGCCGTGGCAGGACACATTTCCCGTTCTGTCTCATGGGGCCACATTTCCTCTTTTTGGTTGGTTCTTAGTCAAACCCACACCATTCATTGCCCACGATTGCTCCCAGCAGGTTTGCGGCAGAGCCGACCGCTGAGCCGGAGCACAGGCCCTGGCGCCCGGGCCACCTCTGCTGACCGTCCACGGCCCGGCCTGGTCAGCGCTGTTTCATTCCCCTGGACTTCGAAGGAGACGCAGCGTGGCCCCAGGTCTTGTGGCAAAGCTCTGGCTGCCTGTCCAGGGGAGGCCTGGGGACACCCTCATGGCTGCTCCCGGGGTCCCGCAGACCCCCCCAGACCTGCTGGCCACGTGCAGACCCGCAGCTGTGTAACTCGGGGCTGCGCTCACCACCAGGGCCGCTTCCCGCCAGTCCTTTGTGGCCAAAGGGGCCAGTGGGGTCCAGAGTCACCCAGAGCCCGGGGACAGGCGGGCAGAGCCAGGGCGCCCTGGGGAGCTGCCTCTGTGGGTGGGGCCGGCCCTGTGCCCCGGGGCCCAGCCAGTGCCAGCCACCCCCTCCTTTTCCAGGGTCCTTGACTCACTTCTCTTGCCATAGCTTGTGGCGAGTCACCCCATGTCCCTCGTTCAGAACATCAGGAGACCCGTGGCATCCTGACCTCGTTTCCAAGAGAGGCCGCTCGAGTCGGGGCCTGTGGGCACTGCCCGCATCTCCACGGGGGGCCAGGGCCACCAGAGCTGGCTGCTGGCCGCAGTCGACAGCACCAAGGGCCGTGCCAGGTGACCGCAGGCAAAGGAACACCTTTCCATCTGGGGGGCAGTTCCCGCGGGCGCCGTGGGCCCTGGGCCGCCCCTGGCCGAATTTGATTCTGGAAGGCAGGGAAGGGGAGGTGGGCTGGGGCTGGGCTGGGGGCCCGGCTGGGGCTGGGGCTGGGGGCAGCTGAGGGCAGGTAGGGGCTGGGTCGCGGGGGCAGGTCCAGGCAGAGTCTTTTCTGGCCTTGAGAAAACCGGTTCAGCCGGGACGGCAAATTTGTCCACACACCGGGTCGGCCGTTCCCTCCGAGATCCACGCAGGTCCTGCGCTGGCAGCTGGGGGACGCTTGAAGGTGCGTCTGGCTCAAGGGTCCTGGGGTGTGGACGCAGGCGGGTGTCCTGCCCCTGCTCACCCTGCCTCTCAGGACAAGTCATTCGGAGTGGGGGGGTAAGGGGGTGGCCCCTGGACCTCTGGACAGGCCTTCTCACACTGAAGGCCCCCTCGGAGGCTCGCTGCAGCCCCGCCCCCACTGGCCCCCGTGCGGGCTGCTGGGGGCCAGACCCGCCACCCTGGCACAGACCCGGCCCGCTCAGCCCTCCCCCCAGCGCAAGCACTGGCTCCTTCCCGGCCACCAGGCCTTCCGGGAGCAGGTCCACTCTAAAAATAGGCGCGTCCCGGGTGCAGCCCTAGTTAGCCAGGGCCGCCTGCCCGCACCGGCCGCCCCAGTTCTGGCCGCGTGGGTCTGGGAGGACTCAAGCCTGGTGAGAAAAACCAGCAAAAATCAGAGCTTTCATGTCCTCTTCCCTGCCCTGCACCGGCGGGAGAGCGCGGAGGGGCGGGGTAGCCCCTGGTCTCCCTCCCGGGACGAGACTCGCGGCCTCGTCTCCCTGTCTCCCTCCCGCAGGACCCCACTGTCCCGACCCCGTCCCGCCAGCGGCTCCTGGCCCAGCCAGCCGGCCGCAGCCTCCCTGTGGCTTCTTGGACCTTCTCTTGCACTCTCGGGCCGCAGTCAAGGGGGCGGCTCCAAGCGAGGCTTTAGGGCCGAGTCAGGCTGAGTCCAGGCAGGCCGAGGCGGAGAATACCCGGCGGGCGTTTTGTATTCAAGCCACAGCAGAGTCCCTCAGACCGTGGACTGTGAGGAAGCAAGTCAAGGCACACGCTGACTCCACAGCACGGCCGTTGCCGCTCAGGACGCTGCCCGCGGGGCGAGCCGTCCACCTCCTCGCGCCCCTCCCGGCCCCCGCCTGGCCCCGCACCCTCGGCTAAACTCCCGGTGGGAGCAAAGCGCCCCCAGTGCCGCTGCGGAGCCGCAGATGGCGCCGGCCCACTCAGCAGCGGCCTCGCCCTCGGCTCGGAGGAGGCTGCGTCGGCAGGCGGGCGAGCAGTCGTGTCAGCGCGGAGGTTTGCTGGGCGCTCAGGCTGCTGACAGGCGACGGCTCTGCCTTCCCCAGCCACAGCCCGGAAAGCCCGACGGGAGGCCGAGGTTCCGGGGCCACCGTCCCCTGCTGGGGCCAGCGTTGCTCCGCAGCCCCTCGGGGACGGGTGCTGGCCCTGCACGTGGGGGCGAGGCCCAGCACCACCCCCCCCCCCGGCCCCCGGGCCCGCCTGCGAGGGGGAAGAGGCAGGCTCTGGCTGGGCTGGCCGCTGGGCCCTCCTGGAGCCGGAGACAAGCCCCTGTGGCCTCCAACACACACAGCAAAGGAAGAGGCTCCAGCCTAGGACGGCAGAGCGGCCACTGAGGCCTCCCAGGGCCTAGTTCCTCAGGGAAGCCATGGGAGGGGGGCAACGCCCAGCCCACAGGGAGCACCAGCCCCAGGGCACACAGCAGCCACCCTGAGAGGGCCGCGCCTCCTCCAGCGGCAGCCCCGGCCCCTCTCAGCGTGGCTGGGCGCCTTTCCAGGGAGGCCCAGGCCATCCGGCCCTGGCTGGGCACTGAGCCCGGGGCCCTGACCAGCCGCTGCCTCCTCCGGGCCGGGGGCCACCGCGGTGATGGCAGCTCCAGCTCCTGTGCAGGGGGAAAGACCAGAGTGTCCCTTGAGTGACACCGTGACCTGCCCAGAGCCGGGGGGTCGACGCAGCTCTCTCTGGACAGGAGCGGGGGACGGATGCTAAGTGTGGCACGAGATTTTCATAGACCAGAAATAAACCTTCATGCGAGTGACTGTGAGTCGGAGGAGGCCGCTCAGGGGCCACACTGTGCCCACACCCCTGCAGGGGGAGTGCAGGGGTGCAGCCAGCTTGGCTCCTTCCAGGCTGGCCTGGCCCAGGTTGGGGGACTGCACCAGGAGGGCCTGCCCGACGGGTCAAGAACACGCAGCCCAGAGAGGGCGGAGAGGTCCCTCCCGGCCTGGACCCAAGCAGAGGGCAGGGCTCAGCCTCGGGGCCGGGGAGGAGGACCTCCCACCTGGGGGACCCCCCACCCGACTCCCGGGCACGACCCCCTCACTGGCGCTGGCCAGGCAGGCGACTGGGCCGTGGGCCCCACGGGGTGCCTGTCTCCTGGCCTCCCCGCGCCCAGGCCCCCTCCCCCTGCCCTGGGACGCAGGCGCCCGCCTGAGCAGCGACTGAGCGTGTTTGCCTCCTGCAAGCCCTCGCAGGCGGGCGTGGGGCTGCCTGGCCTGGGCACTCGGCTCCTGTCCAGCGCGGGGGCCTTGCTCACTGCCCCGCAGGGCCAGGCCCACCCAGACAGGGCTCCTCGAGGCGCTCGGCAGCCCAGGTGGACACGGCCAAGGGGTCAGGCCGGGTGTCCCGGTGCCGTCCCCGGGAGCAGGCAGGGCGGGAAGGGGAGGTGGAAGGCTCCTGGCTCGAGCTGCCTCGGCCGTGGCTCTGGGAAAGCTGGGTCTGTGGCAGGAAGGAGGCCAGGGAGGACGCCAGGTCAGGACCCTGGGCCCTGTGAGCTACTGATCTGCAGACACTCGGCCGCCTCGGCGAGACCAGCTGACACAACGGTCCGAGGGCAGGACCCTCCCGGCCCCCCCCACCCCAAGCTGGCCTGACCCCTCCAGCAGCTTGGCTGGGCCTCAGCCTCACCCGCTTCCCAGGGGCCTGGCAAGGGCCCTTGGCCGGGGCTGCTTGTGCCCAGCATGGCTAGGGCCCGAGGGGATGCTGCAGGGAGCCCCAGAGGGAGCCAGGCGGGGACCTGCTACCTCCTGAGACACGAGGGCAGGCTGGCCTGGACCCGCCGCAGGAGCAGCTCTGGGCTCGGGGTCATAAGAGCGGGCGCTGCTAGACACCTGCCCAGGCCGCAGGCTGGCCCGGGGGTGCGGGCTTGGGGGCCCCCCAGGGCGGTAGTGATGGCACCTCCTGCCTCAGTTTCCCCATCTGGGGTGACAGGTGTGGCAGCATCGGCCAGGACGGGGCCACGTGTGGGTCACAGCCCAGCAGGGTCACTCCACGGTACGGCTCCCAGGAGGCCAGTGTTGGCACGTCCCCCATGCCCTCCCCGTCCACATGGGGAGTCCCGAGTCTTGACCCACAAAATGGGGGCGTTGATGCCCAAGTGACATTGCGAGGAGATGCCCCAGTGCCCCCGCCCATGCGTGGGCTGCCATGGCTCCCCTTCGGCCCCCTGGCCCCGGGGCGAAGCTGTGGGGTTTGGGAACCCACCCAGCTGAGGCCCAGCCCCCACTGGTAGCCGCGCCCCCAGGCCAAGCGGCCAGATTCCAGGGCTGGTGACCCCTGGGGGTGGGGGGAGGGGCTGGGCTGGCTGCAGGCCTCTCTGGGGGGCCTCTCAGGCCCCGGGGTCCCTGCCACTCCTGTAGCCGAGCCCGCTGGCCAGGTGTGGCCCCCAGGTGGGAGAGCGGGGGTGACGGGCACGTGGGGGTGCCGACGCCTCGGCCTGCGGCTCCCCCAGGGACAGGGGCATGGAGGAACTTGGGAGGGACTTGGGTGAGGGCCCTGGGGCGGCGGCGTGGCGGCCGATCCCCTGTCTGTACTTGGACTTCGCGCCTGTTCCCTGGCCCGGCCCCTCCCGTGGGGCTGGGGCCTGCCCTCGGGCCAGCCCCCACTGGGCGGCCTTTGCCAAGGGGACTTGTGGGGGTGCCCTTTAGGAAGGCTAAGGTTTGGGAGGAGGGAGTAGACAAGGGAATTGATAAGGTTGCTATGGGAACCAGCCCATTAAGCTGATCACTTTGACCCTGAGCGGGGAGGCAGGGCTGGGACAACTCCTGCCTCAAAGGTCAACGCCCAGGACCAGACACCCCAGATGAACCGGCCCAAACTGCCTCCCCTCCTGACCAGCCCCAAGCACAGGTCCCAGGAGGCCCCAAGTGCCCCACCCCCGGCTCGGGCTCCCCACAGCCTCAGCCCTGCAGCCCCGGCACCCTGCAGCCCCCACAGCCCCGGCCCCACGGGCGTCTGCGCTGCCCAGTTCCCTCCACCTCTGCGTCTCTGGTGGGCTCTGTCACCCCACGCCTGGGCCTCACCCTGACATTCTCCCCACAGTGGGGTGGGTGACCCTGGGTGTTCTGTTGGAAACGATTCTCCTCCCTCTGTGCCCACTTTCCACTGAAGGTCCTCCACACGGAGAAACCGTTTTGTCCTCAGGAGGCGATGGCGGAACCATCTAGAGGCCGGCGTGGGCCGGGCTCCCTCCGCCGGCTGCTGACGGGGGGTGGGGCAGCCTACCTGGCCGGGGGCTGGGCTGGGCCTGCGGGGTTGGCCCCTGCCATTTGCGGGCCCCAGGCCGGGACGGCCTCACCTCCTCTGCATGCCCCACCTGCAGGGCCCCGGCCTTGTCCAGCGCTGATGGGTGCCATCGTGTCCCCCACCCAGAGCCTCGTCAGGAGTGTGGGGGTGCACAGGGGCCTTCTGAGGGGGTCCCAGGCCTGGCCGAACCGCCCTCCACCGCACTGCCGGTCCCCGGAGGGGTGTCCAGGGACCTGGGCCTCGTGGGACCATTCTCGCAGGCGGCCTCCGGGTCCATCACCTTGCTGAGGCAGGGACAGCGGCTCCTGCCCTGGCCAGGCGCCCCGGCCTCCAGGCTGGGCCTGCTGCTCTGGGGCAGCGACTCGGAGCCCCGCCCCCGCCGGGTCTTCTGACTCAGCCTCTCTGGCCCACCCAGGCCCTTTGGACTCTATCTGTGCCCTGGAGGCCTGGGGTGGGAGGGGGGAGGGCGAGGACAGGACTGGAAGGAAGAGGAGGCAGCGAGGGGATTTCAGGAAACCCCAAGCCCCAGCGAGGGCCATCTGTGGGAGCGGGCGGCTGGCTCAGCGGGGAGCAGCGGGGCCTCGGGGGCCGCCTGTCCCGGGGACTCTGGGTAGGCAGGGCCAGCACGAAGACAGCGCGGCAGGTGCTCCCCATGGCTGGTGCTCCCTCCCTGTGCGACTGGGCAGCTCGCTGGCACCCCGCTTCCCGGCTCTCCCTGCCAGTCCTCTGGAAGCCATGGGGTCCCTCCCGCCCCCCGAGGCAGGGCCCTCCAGCCCGGACTTCCTGCTTCCCTGGGGCTTCCTGAGGAGCGCGGGCAGGCTGGAGCCGGCTGCGGCGGGTGGCGCGGCCTCCTCCGACCTCTTCCTGCCCGGCGCTCTGCCCAGGAGGCCTGCCCAC